CTGCAAAGCTGTTTGAACTGCAAGTTCAGTGGTTCAGGCTCACCAGCTGCTCCTTGGAAACCCTATACAGGGTCGCTATGGGTCAGAACCGACTAACAGCAATTAACAATAACAACAACAATTCCTATGCAGGTAGCAGCACTATATAATAGACATAGTGGTTATGAATTGGGTTGTGAACCTCAAGGTCAGCAGTTCAAAACTACCAGCTCTTCCGTGGGAGAAAGATGAGGCTTTCTGTTCCTGTAAAGATTTACAGCCTCAGGAACCCTGTACAGGGTTGCTATGAGTTGGAACCAACTCCACGGCACATAACAACAACAACAATGCAGTAAAACCTTCTGCTCACATCTATAAAGGTAGCTCTTATTCCTCCTGAAATAGTGCTAAAACCTCATTCATCCCAGCTAATAAGGGCACTGGCATTTCTAGCATGGGTCTTGGCACTTAGCATACATTATTTTGATTTAATCATCAGAATAGCCCAGTGAGTTCTATGTCCTATACCTCATTTTTTAAATGGAAAAATTGAGGCTGGAAACTTTAGACAATTTGCCCAAGGTTGTACACTAATAATTAGTAGCTCTGGGAGGATGTGCAGGTCTGATCCTGAAGTCTTTGTCCTTCCTACGACCAAAGCTGGTTGTCACAGAGTCTATTTCAACTCACAGCCACCCTGTGTGTGTCAGAGTAGACCTATGCTCCATTGGGTTTTCAATGGCTAATTTGGGGGAAGCAGACTGCCAGCCTCTCGAGGGGTCTTTGGGAGGACTTGAACTTGCAACCTTTTGTTTAGCAGCCAAATACCTTAACCACTTGTACCACCCAGCAACTCCTCTTCCCAAGGTTAAAAACAAACCAAATGCATTGCCATAGAGTCTGTTCTGACTCATGGTGACCCCAGTTCTACCGAGTAGAACCGCTTCCTAGGATTTTCCTGGTTGCGATCTTTACGGAAGCAGACTGTCAGACCTTTCTTTGACGCCACTGCTGTATTCAAACCACCAACCTTTAGGTTAATTGTTGTTGTTAAGTGCCATAGAGTTGATTCCGACCCATAGGGTTTCCAAGCAGCAGCTGGTGAGCTTGAACCACCGACCTTGCAGTTCAAAGCAACTTTACAGTCCAGCGCATTAACCCACAGTGACACACACACTCAGACACAAACCATTTGCCTCATCCAGAGACTCCCCTTTCCAAGATAAAACCACTGCCATCAAGTGGACTTAGACTCATAGCACACTATATGGCAGACTTGAACTGCCCCATGGTGTTTCTGAGACTGCTCATCTTCACAGAAGCAGCCTCCTCATCTCTCTCCAGAGGATCAGCTGGTAGGCCGGAACCACTTACCTTTGGTTTAGCAGCCCACCAGGGCTCCTTCCAATAGGTGGTGGTTGTTGTTGTTAAGTGTTGTCAAGTTGGTTCCAACTCATAGTGACTCTGAATGGGGTTTCCAAAGAGCAGCTGGTAGGTCTGAACTGCCAATGTTGGAAATCAGGATTTCTCAATGTTGATGCCATTGACATTTTGACATTTTGACCGTATAAATTCTTGGTTGGGGGCGAAAGGGCCTGTCTTGTGTATTGAAGGACATCTGGCAGTATCCCTGGCTTCTACCCACTAATCATCCATAGCAGCCCCACCCGTAGTTGTGAAGACCATATATGTTTCCAGACCTTGCCACAAGTCCCGTGGAGCACATACTCAGCCTGGGTGAGAAACACTGCTGTAAAGGTTTCAGATGCTCTTGTTTCCTTATAGCGCTGAGTTTTTGTGATTCTGTGAAATTCACAGACCAATCTGAAGGAGCTAAAACTGCCTAGGAGTGACCTTACAGGATATACTTTTAAAATATAACTAACATTTCAGTTCTTGCACATAAAAAAAAAAATCCCTTCTTCCTGTTATTGCTGATAACAGTTTGTCCTTTCCAGTAAGTAAATATTCACACTGTGCAAATGTTCTAAAGCTTCCAGAGGCTGATGTTACCTCAGGAATTCTGCCTGAATTCCTCACAAAGACATTCAAGGACTTCCGAGTTTGGCCTCAATTCTCCCCATCCTCAAACCCGTGTACTTTTAGGTAACAGCCAAGTAAAATAACTCACTGTGGCCCAAATATGTCCTCTGTTCCCTCTGCTTAACAAGCCTTTCCCAATCCCACACCCACACCCATACCCACACTCCTATTCTTGTCTTTTGGGATCCTGTTGTTGTGTTAAGTGCTGTCAAGTTGGTTCCACCTCACAGCATCCCTGTACAGGGTTTCCAAGGAGTGATTGGTGAGTTTGAACTGCCGACCTTGAGGTTCAAACCAACCTTAGGGTCGAGTGCTTATCCTACAGTTCCACACAAGGACTGCTTTGGGGTCCTACCCATCCTTAATGTTTAATTGGTCCCCACTACATTAGAATAAGCAGTGGGCTGGCAACCACAAGGTCAATAGTTCAAACCCATCGACAAGTCTCAGATCCCTACACACGGTCAGAAACAACTTAATGGCTCACGACCAAAACAACAACATTTCTCACAAGGCAGTGGCCTGGTGACTGTACTTTCCTTTATTTCCGCAGACAATTTGTGTCTCACCCCTCTCTACCTGCCTTGTGAAGAGGGTGGGATCTTCCCTACTAGACTGAAAGTTCCTGGAGAATAAGAATTCTACTTTATCAATTTTATTTGGTCCTATTTGGTTTTCATTTGGTTCTATGTTGCTTGGATTACACTAGGATATGAGTCAAGATTAACTTGGTGCAATGGTTAAGTGTTCAGCTCCTAAACAAAAGGTCTTTGGTTCAAGCCCACCGGCTCCACCAGAGAAATTGTTGGTGATTTCTTCCCATAGAGATTGCAACCTAGGAAACTCTAGGGCAGTTCTCTGTCCTGATTGGTTGGTGGTTATGTGCCTTGGAGTCAGTTCCGACTCATAGAGACCCCGCATAGGAGTTCTGAGGCTGTAAATCTTTATGGGAGCAGAAAGCCTCATCCTTCTTCCACAGAACAGCTGGTAGTTTTGAACAGCTGGCTTTGAGTTTAGCAGCCCAACTCACAAGCAGGACACTACCAAGCTCCTTTTCTCTGTCCTATGGGGTTACTATGATTCAGAATTGGAATCAATAAAGAGACAGAATTGATTTGAGAATACCAAATACCAGCAAGCTTCAGACCAGATTCCATGGGATAACAGTAAAATTCAAATGTGAAATCTGAACTACGTAATGAAGATACCAATGAAAAAAGGATCCCGTCTCTCTAGTATTCCACTTCATGGTCCAGTATGGCCTAAGTACCCTGGGTGGCTCTGATATAGGCTGCAGCTAGGGTGATCGACCTTGAGACTTACTTAAAGACTTCCAGGGTTGTGCAGCTGGAACCCTGCCATGTCAGGAAAAGGGCACCTTTTCCTCATTTTTATAAAGGTGCCACATGGACTGGAAGAAGCTCTATCAGCAAAAACTTTCACAGAGTCAAGGGACTTTGCATTCAACATTTTTGTCCTCAAACTTGACATCTGTCAATTACTTTTACTAAGAGATATTGCAGTGAATTTATCCATCCAAATCAATCTTTGCCTTTGGAACTTGTTCTTAACTAAACAAAGATTTGTATTAATTGATTCAATGAATATTTATTAATCACTCACTATGTTTGGAAGCTCTAGGAGTGAAGGAAAGAAAGTGTCTGACCTCACTCAATTCATATTCTTATATTACCCCCTCAAGGGTTTCAGTTTTCTATGATAACACACAGATGATTAAATCTATTAACCAGTTGTGACCAAGTATAATCTGACTCATGGAAGCAGCAGTCAAGAAATTAAATGACATATTGTATTATGCAAATCTGCTGCACAAGACCTTTTCAAAGTATTGAAGAGCAAAGTTGACAGTTTGAGAACTAAGGTGCACCTGACTCAAGCCATAGTATTTTCAATAACCTCATATGCATGTCAAAGTTGGACAGTGAATAAGGAAGACCATAAAAGAATTGATGCATTTGCGTTGTTGGAGAATATACAAAGTACCATGGACTTCCAAAAGAACAAATCAATCTGTGTTGGAAGAAGTACAGCCAGAGTGCTCATTGGAAGCCAGGATGGCCAGACTTCGTCTGTCATACTTCAGACATATTATCAGGAGGGATTAGTCCCTGGCGAAGGATATGTTTGGTAAATTGAGGTCGGAAAAAAATAGGAAGACCCCCAACAAGATGAATTGACACAGTGGCAGCAGCAATGGGCTCAGACGTAGCAATGATTGTGAATTTAGCACAAGACTAGGCAGTGTTTCATTCTGTTGTGCATAGGGTCGCTATGAGTTGGTACCTACTCAATGGCACCTAACAACAACAATATAGTCTGACTCAAGGTGACACCATGTGGGTCAGAGTAGAACTGTGCTCCATAGGGTTTTTGGTGGTTGATGTTTCAGAAGTAGATTGCCAAGTGTATCCTCTGAGGAGCCTTTGAGTATATTAACTATTTGCTTCACCCAGGGATTGTAATTAAAGTTAGACCCAGCTCCGATCTGGGAAACTTTTGTTGTTGCCGTTGATGACGTCAGTACCTTTGAGTGACTCTGGGCAGTAGGTAGCAGTAAATGGGTAGTTCAGTGGTAGAATTTTGACCTTCTGTGTGGATCCAATTCCCAACCCATTCACCTCATGTGCAGCCCTAACCCGTCTGTCAGTGGGGGCTTGTTTGTTGCTAAGATACTGAACAGCTTTCAGCAGAGTTGTCAGAGTAAGATAGACTAAGAAGAAAGGTTTGGTGTTCTCTTTCTGAAAATCAGCCAGTCAATGACCACTCTGAGTCACAGGTGCAATCAGTCACGGGTTCCATTGTGCATGGGGTAGCCATGCGTAGGGGGCAAATGCAATTGCAGCAAAAATAATGGCATTCATAGGATGGCTGTGGATCTGACCATTGATGCTTCCATTGGCAAAAACAGAAACTGCAACATCCCCACTATATTTTGTCACTTCCCTTTGTATATATAGATGGAAAACTGTGCACCAGCTACAACCGAGGGCTCATCTCAAAGGCAAAAATCAAGGCCATCAAGTATAGCATCGTCATCATTCTCGGTAAGTAGTGTCGTTCCCCCCCACCCCCATGTGCTGCAGAATTGTGCAAATATTCCAAGTAAACTTGCATCCGGGGCCAGGTGGAAGAATTTATCTATTCCTGTCTGATTGGAAAGGAATGTGTGGAGTTCATTCGTCCGTCTATGGCTCCTTCATGGGCCAACATTAGCTTCTAATTCATCACTTTATGAATATAGTTGTCATTCATAACCAAGGAGTAGATCGTATGGGGAAAAGAAATCTCATGAAAGTACAACTAACTGAAGCTGATATTCGTATCACCAGGTGATCCCAGTAGTTTATATTCTCATGAGGGATTGACATCCATGAACAAAGGGAAGACAGAAGTGGCATTCTAGTACTTCTGGATATTTCGTTTCATAGTCACGACAAATCCGTCCCTAATAAATAATTACCTTTCGTCCTCTCCCACTCTCCTGTCCTTTCCTGTTCTTTCTCTCTCAGCTTAAAACTCATAAAAGGCAAAGGGGGAAAAAAAGTATTTCTAAAGTAACTGATATTGTCAGATTAGTGTTTCCTATTTTCAAACCTTCAAACTCTCTCAGCTATTAAGTTTGCTTCTTTTTCACTGAGAAAATTTAAGTCATCACAAAAAACTTTTTTATTCTCCTACCTCATACCTGCTTATCTACCATGTGGTTTCACTTACATCCTATTGTTGTTGTTAGGTGCCATGGAGTTGGTACCGATTCATAGCAACCCTATGCACACCAGAACAAACACTGCCCGGTCCTGGGTCAACCTCACAATTATTGCCACACTTGAGCCCATTGATGCTGCCATTTTGCCAATCCATTTAGGTGGGGGTCTTCCTCTTTTTCTCTGACCCTCCACCTTACCAAACATATCCTTCTCCAGTGACTGGTCCCTCCTGACAATATGTCCAAAGTATGAGAGACAAAGTTTGGCCATCTTAGCCTCCAATGAGCACTCTGGCTGCACTTCTTCCAACACAGATCTATTTGTTCTTTTGGCAGCCCATGGCACTTTCAATATTCTCCTCCAACACTATAACTCAAAAGCATTACTATGGATAAACTGTCCCTGCTTCTATCTGGGCCCATTTTGTTCACCTATGTCCCAGATTCCACTCTTTCCTGCCTACCCAAGGACTTTACTTCTCCAATCATCTGTTTTCTCTCCCACAAATTTACCCTGTTCTGGCTCATACATGATTAAGCATCCTGATGTGGCACTGTGGGATAAAGCACTGGACTGCAAGGTTCAGTTTGAACCACAAGGTCGGTAGTTCAAACTCACCAACCACTCCTTGGAAACCTTACACAGGGTCACTGTGAGTCAGAACTGACTCAATGGCACTTAACAACAACAAACATCTCCCTCAGTCAACCTCTCCTCTCTACTTCACTGCTGTCTTTTGTAGCACAATTCCTCAACAACAACAAAAGTTGTATATAGCCTGTCTCCACTTTTCACTTCTCATTCTTTCTGGAACCTACTTTAACTCATCCTTCCTATTTTTTCCAATAAAACCACACACAACAAGGTTACCACAACTTCCAAGATACCAAACGTCAGTTCTAAATCTTCATCCTACTCAATTTAGAAACATTTGATCCATTTCTCATTATTCTTTTTTTTTTTTTTTTTTGCCTAGACGTGATATCTAGACTTCTACTTGACATCTCTGTACTTGCATTTCTAATGATCCTATCACATTCAGCATGTCCAAAATAGAAGTCTTAGCATGCCTGCTACCTTCTGCCAAAATAGCTCTTGCCCCTGTTTTCTGTATTTCTGTAAACAACACCATTTTTCATCCAGGACTCAGGCCAAAACCTAAGGGACATCATCATTATTCTATTTTTCTCACATCCCTCATGAAATTCACCAGCAAGACCTGGATTTTCTACCTTCAAAATCGATCCCAAATTGAACCTTTTCTCGCCATTTACACAAATACTGCCTTGGTCAAACCTTCCATCATCTTCTGTCTGGAGAATGACAGCTGGTCATCTGGCTTTCCTTTTTCCATGTTTTCTACAAAGCAACCAAAACCATCATCTTTTTACAGCGTCAGTCAGATGCTACCATTCCCCCCACAAACCCACAGGAGGCCTCCCATTGCATTGAGAACAAACTCCCCAGTTCGGTCCATCTTTTCCATGGCCCTGTGTTATCTGTCCCACAGCTTCATCTTCAACTTCCTTCCCCATACCCCTCCTCCTTCCTAACTCCGTTCCAGTCTTGCTGGTGTCCCAGCTGTTTCTTCAAAATGTCAGCTGTTCTCATGCTGGCTCTCTTGCCCTTAAATGTTCTGTGTTCGTGACAAGATTGACCCTATCACCTAGTCCTGTTCCCCAACAGTGCCACCTCCTCTCAAAGGCCTTCCGGATTGCCCTTTAAATTTACTGTGGGTTCATGCGCTAGACAGTAAGTTTGGTTTAAACCACGAGGTCGGCAATTCAAACTCACCAGACACTCCTTGGAAACCCTACACAGGGTTCTTATCAATCAGAACCAACTTGATGGCACTTAACAACAACAGGCTTAATAATGGATTCCTGGTGTGGCACTGTCAGATCAGCACTACACTGCTAGCTACAAGGTTAGTGGTTCAAACCTACCAGTGGCTCCTTGGAAACCCTCTACAGGGTCACTATGAGTCAGAACTTACTTAACAGCACTTTACAACAACAACATGATTTATGATACATGATTTTTCTACAACATGATTTATGATACATGATTTTTCCTCAGAGTTCCTACTTCAGCCTATTGTGGGACATATTGATTTAGTAACCATATGTCTCCTTTGCTAAAATATTAAATCTATGAGGACAATAAAATTTACTTTTGTATTCCTTACACTGTCCCCAAGGCCTAGGTCCCATACACTAGGTGTGCAGTATTGGTTGAATAAACAAATAAGTACGAAGAAAAAGAATGTGTGCTGTTTTCTTCAACCAAATTCAAGTCCTGCTCCTCCCACCCCTATTCTAGCACTTGAAAGCTGGAGGAAAACATCAAAACAAGCTTATCTTCTCATGTTAGCTGTATGTCCAATCACCAAAACAGACAGTCAGTCCCACCTTCCCAAATCACAACAGCAAAAATGTCAAAGTACACACAGCATGAGTCAGCCAGTGGGATAGAGACAAAAAACAGCACTGCAGACAGAACTGGGCTAGAGCACACACAGCCCACAGGGCTCAAAAGCCTTTACCAGCAGCATCTCCAGTGGATCAAAGACTTCCCTCCCTCCTGAACAATCAGAAGGAGAGATGCACACTTCCTGGATGTTGAATCCAGAAAAGAATGCTTGTACATATGTCCCAGAGCCATGTCTCCAGGCCCTGTGGAGCCTTAGTCCATGAGCAGGACTGCACATCAAAGGGCTACCCTGTGTCTACAACCTTCTGATAGCCTTATCTGGAACAAATGCTTAATAATGTCCTCTTTACCATCCCAAAATGAAATGCATACATGTTATTTGTTGTTGTTAGGTGCCATCGAGTCAGTACCGACCCATAGTGACCTTATGTTCAGCAGAACAAAACACTGCCCGATCCTGGGCCAACCTCACTACTGGTGCCACGCTTGAGTCCATTGATGCTACCACCTGGCCAATCCATCTTGTTGGGGGTCTTCCTCTTTTTCTCTGACGCTCCACCTTACCCAACATGATATCCTTCTCTAGTGACTGGTCCCTCCTGACAATATGTCCAAAGTATGAGAGACAAAGTTTGGTCATTCTGGCCTCCAAGGAGCACTCTGGCTGTGCTTCTTCCAAAATGGATCTATTGATTCTTTTGGCAGCCTGTGGCACTTTCAATATTCTCCTCCAACACCATAACTCAAAAGCATCAATTCTTCTATGGTCTTCCTTATTCACTGTCCTCATATACACGTTATTACCTACCAAATATTAACTCTTTATAAATCAATATAGTACTCCAACAATAAAGGAGGACTAGAAAGGAGCTCTGGTAGCATAGTGGCTATGATTTGGGCTGTGAACAGGAAGGTCAGCAGTTCAAGACTACCAGCTGTTCCGTGGGAGAAAGATGAGACATTCTACTCCTATAAGGATTTTACAGCCTTGGAAACCCTGTACAGGGTCGCTATGAGTCGGAACTGACTCCACAGCACACAGCCACCACCGCAGAAAGAAATACAGCCAGAGTGCTCCTTGGAGGCCAGGATGGCCAAACTTTATCTCTCATACTCGGACATATTGTCAGGAAGGACCAGTTGCTAGAGAAGGATATCAAGTTTGGTAGGGTGGAGGGAGGGTCAGAAAAAAAGAGACCCCCAGCAAGATGGATTGGCAGAATGGCAGCATCAATGGGCTTAAGCGTGGCAAAATTGTAAGATTGGCCCAGGCCTGGGCAGTGTTTTGTTCTGTTGTGCATAGGGTTGCTATGAGTCGGTACCAACTCGATGGCACCTAACAACAACAACAAGAAAGACAATAATAAGGTAATATAGGTTTCAATATGGAGTCTTGGTGTGATGCTGTAGGATCAGCACTGGATTTTTAACTACAGGGTTAGTAGTTCAAACCCACTAGCTGCTCCTTGGAAACGCTATACAGGGCCATTATGAATCGGAACTGACTGGATGACACTTAACAACAACAATAAGGTTTTAATATGTAAATCTAGCTCCACTAGAAGACAATGAAATCGTTAGATGCTTACATCTAGACATAATAACAGCTATTAAAAAGACCAATTGTTTTAATTGTTGAATGTCATGGAGTAGGTTCTGACTCATAGCGACCTTGTATAGGGTTTCCAAGAAGCAGGTGGTGAGTTTGAACTGCTGATCTTGCCATCTAGTGGTTTATCCTATAGCACCCCACCAGGATAGGGGTGAGTTAATTAAATGTTTGACCAAATATAGCAGGCTAATTTTTAAGTTAATAATTTTGCTTGGCCAGCAAATGATGTCATAAATTTTGGCGGACAAAAAGTTGCCCACCCCTGCTGTATGGAGTCCTGGTGTGAGCTGCAGGATAATGTGCTGGACCAAAAAGTCAGTTTAAACTGTAAGTTTAGCAGTTCAGACATACCAGCCACTTCTCAGAAACCCTATACAGGGTCGTTATGAGTCGGAACAACAGCATCTCCTGTTGTGTAGGTTTTCTGAGGAGCAACTGGTGGGTTTGAACTGCCGACCTTGTTATTCACAGTCCAGTGCTGATCCTCTAGCTCAACACAAGATTCTAAAAAGACCAATCTTTTTCGTGGAGACTTTAAAAATGCAATCAATATTACTATCGTTGGTGACTTGATTTTTCGGAGCAGATGATAAGCACCTAATTAAACGAAGCAATCTTTCCTCCAATGAATTTTTATTAAACATATTTTGTGTTGATATGTAAAACACAGTTAAGCTTCTAGACCTGGGTAGTGACAAACAGGTTTTCCTTCTCCCCTACATCAATATTCATCTGAGTTCTATGGGAGATGGGATAAGTCTTTGCAGGAAGGGGCTGCCCCTACTATATAGAAGGACTGGCATCCCTGTAACACATCAATACACACACACACACACACACACATTTTCAATGTGCCCCAAAAGGCTATTTGTACCACCATCTCTGTATTAGTTTCTTTAGGCTAATGTAACAAAATACTAAAACAGAGTGGCTTAAAACAACATAATTTTCTTGTCTCAAAGTTCTGAAGTCTAGATGTCAGAAATCAGGTTGTTAGCAGATAAGATTCCTTCTGGAGACTTTAAAGGATAATCTGTTCCATGCCATCCTCCTCGCTCATGGTTGTTGCTGACAATCCTAGACATTTCTTGACTTGTAGCTGCATCACTTGAATTCATGACTCCATCTCTGTGTGGTCGTCTCCCCTGTGTCTGTGTCCAAAATTTCCCTCTTCTTTTAGGATACTAGTCATTGACTTCAGACCCACCCTAATCCAGTTTAACCTCACCTTAACTTGATAACATTGCAAAGACTCGATTTCCAAATTAGGTCAGAGTCACAGATCCCAGGAGGACATGAATTTGGTGGACAGAGGGTACAATTCAACCCAGTGCAATCCCCCAGAACTGCTATTCTAGTCTGACATTGGACGTAACAACCCAGAGGCCAGAGAGTTAAGTGGTCTTTGTTGTCTGAATTGTTCACATTTAATGAATTGTCAAAATCTGGGTCAAGAAACCATGTGTCAGTGACATTTATAGAGCCAGGGTTGCCCTTGTAGGCAGGTGGCCAAGAAAGCCTGGCTTCTCTCTCTCTGAGGGTGGAGAAGACATGCAAGAAAGTAAGAAGTGTCACCCTCAAGGGTGTTTAGTTATGGGTATCTATTTCCCACTCATTTTCTCTGAGTGTCTGGAACCAAACAAAATTAGCATGTCACACCACTAATTCGGAGAGAGTGTGGTGGGTGAGTGATGTTTCCTGAAGTGGCCAAATTAGAGATGGAAATGAAAATTTAGAACATTGTGATTAAGCCTGACTTTGTTGTGAAAACACTGGGTGTCCTCCCTTTCCAATGCCATACCCTGTAACCAGGAGTCATTGCTGTCAAAAAGATTCCTGCTCTGCAAGAGTTTGTTCACTGTCTTCAGCACCTCATTTGATAAGAAGCTTAAGTCATACCCAGCTTTCTCAGGCTTTCAGTAAAGACTCAATAACAGTAGGAACTTTATCCCACTTTACAGATAGAAAAGTTCCAGAAAGTGTTAGAAATAGATCTGAAAGGATGGGTGTGAGTGTGTACTTTTGTGAAAAGCATCATTGTTAACATACCCCGTTATGAACACTTATACTCAACTCATTATTTCTGAGAGATCCCTGGTGCCAAAAAACTCCAAGACTGACTGAGGAAACCCTCAGCTGAGACTTGTGATGGTACTAATGTCTCCCTTCTCCCCTAGCCTTCATCTGCTGTTGGAGCCCATACTTCCTCTTTGATATTTTGGACAATTTCAGCATCCTTCCAGACACCAGCGAGCGCTTCTATGCCTCTGTGATCATTCAGAACCTGCCCGCCTTGAATAGTGCCATCAACCCACTCATCTACTGTGTCTTCAGCAGGTCCATCTGCTTTCCCTGTCGGTAAGGGACATTCTTGCCTAGGTCCAACTTGCTGTTGGCCCCTACATTCAGACTTCGGTGTGTATTTCTCATTCCTAAACTCCCCAGCAGCTTGCAACATCTTTATTTTAAAGATAAGACACTTGAGCATCAGTGTCAATTATGTGCCCAAGATCACCTAGTGTGACAAATTCAAACTCAGGTTCATGCTACGATGAAAGCTCTTTCTACTGTAGCACACCACTTCCAAAGCAACCCTCTTGATCATGACACACTTAAAGGACTTTTCTCTGTTCAAAGCTTCTCCATCTTATGTGAATTGACTCAGTACAATGATGTGGTGTTAGCATGACAGGAGACATTGTACAGATAACCAAATTAAGGTGCAGCAACGTTTTTGGGGTCTTGCCTCGACAGAAGAGTGGGTTGCATGAAGTTGGGAGGTCTGATAGGTGAAAAATATAGCATAGAGACAAAGAGACAATACAGACACAAAGAAACAGACATACAAGTTTGATGCAAGCTGAAAGGCAGGCTGCCACTATTGTCCTCTAATCAATACTCCCAGAATTTACCAATCTATTTTGTTTACAAACCTTGAGTAAAAAATATACCTGTTCCTAGCCTTTCTGAGTCCTCTGAGGAGACTTTTTACTGTCTCGGCTTTAGAGGGGTTTTGGTCCCATTGTTGTATATGGACATCAAAGGCTCATGTTTCAGGTTAATATCAAGATGCAGTTCTGACATGCATACCAGGTGGCTATTGCTTGTTCTTTAAAAAGATTTGTTCCCAGGACCCTACGCACTGCCAACACAGTGGAGACATTAAGAAAGGCACATAAGAAACCATTTTCTCAAAAGCTGCAATTATTGGAGTTAGAAGCATAGAATGAACAATAAGACCAAAGAAAATTATACAGAGGTAGCCCACCAGTGAGTTCGCAAAAACATATGAACCTGGGACTTCAGGGGGTCACTTCCTTGGCCCTCAGGGTCCATGGCTTGCAATCCTGAGGAGGGGCACTGGGATTGGATTTTCATCCATCTTGTCACAGGGCCACAGCTACTCAGTGCTTGCGTATGTCGTCCCCGACACAACATTATCGAGATTATATGAATAATTAATGAAGAGCTACAACTAGACCTCTCTGACAACCACTAGGTCATTTTGCTGCCTTTACAATTAATGTCATGTACAAGCTAGAGTGAGTAGGTGAATAAATCAGTAGGAGCTCAAAGAGTAGAATGGATCAAGGGTCAGACTTAATGTCAGTGGATGAAATTCTCATCCTATCATTGCTGATTCATAGCTATCTGTGGCCGTGCACAAGTCATTTTGCTTCCATAACAATAAGGTAGTTTCTTCATTGTAGAATGAGACTAATAACAGCTTCTGCTTCTTGGCCATTGATGGTTCTACTCATTGAGTTCTGGTGCTGACCAGTGGAAAGGAGGGCTGTAAATGATGGGAGGAGCAAAGGGTGGGAAATTTTTACATACAAAGTTCCTGATTCTACACTCGTAACAACTATTATCTCTTAACTTCCTTACTTTCCTTTCATCATTTTTTCCTTTCATTATTTTCCCTGTTTCATTCTGACTTTCTCCAGGGAACAAAGATTACAGGATTCCAGAATGACCTGCCGGGAGAGAACTGAGAGACATGAAATGCAGATTCTGTCCAAGCCGGAATTCATCTAAAGCCCAGGGCAATGTCAATACCAGGCTGAACACCATCAGCTCTCCTGCTTCCCCATCGTAACTTGGGCACATGCATGGCACCCAAGACCTTGCCATTCTATTCCTGTCATCACTTAGAGACGCATAAGGCAAACTCCTGATGAGTGTTTGTTGGCTGCATCAACAAGTATTAGCCAACATAAAGTCACCAGCTAGCCATGCTGGCCAGTGAAGACAGCCCCTGTTTTCCGCCACTCCCAGCCATTAGTTCTCCTCGTCAGCACCAGAGCCCAGTGGACAGAGACATCACTGGCCCCAGGCTCTGACTTTGAAGGAGCTGAGGGAACAGGCAAGCACTAGAGAAGAAAATAGCAGGGTTGTATGTGAATCTTCTAATTACAATTTAAGAAGTAAATTACAGACTTACCTAAGTCTGGCTTTTTAAATTGTTTCTTATTTTTGGACTGAAGTTTCAGTAATTGTAGCCAAGAAGATGTTTGCCCTTTAAACACCAACAAATTCATTTCCAGGCATTGGCACCTCCTATGCTGACAGCCTTCGTTTGCAGATGGGCTTGTTGGCAGGAATGATTTGTGGAAGGAATACAACTGCTGGCCCTCCAAAGTAAGACCAAACTGGAGGGGTACTTTCTCTGATAGAAAGAAAAGGAATAAAAGAAAAAATTAGTGCTAAAAAGTCAGTGTTCAAACTTGTCCTTGAGGTTCTCTAAAGTTTTCTCCCTCTGAATTCACTCAGGGCCACTCTGGGCACCATCCCGTAAACCTCAGGGACCTTTCTTCCCCCTTCTTATCTCCTAGAACCGTCTCTGTTTTGGAGAACTGAACTCCCATTGCTTTGCCTGGCCTGATGTTTCTGTAAACTGTCCTTTTTGCGGTTGTGGCCTTTGTCTACCTAACACCTCGGCTTGGAAACACTGGTAGGGCTTATTTCAACATGTCTAGAGCTTGTATTTATAAGTATAATCCAAGTGAAATGTGACTAAATGTTTTCCAGTCAGTTTGTACCATTATATTTTTCCATAAGTGGAAATGGAATAATTTAATTTGATTATGTGCACATCCCCACCCACAGCTCTGGGATGTGTATGAGCACCTTATATTTAGCTTCCCATACATTTGTGACATTAAAATCTCCTTGGCAAAATTCTCCTTCTCAGGATTATTCAGAGCTTAAATCTTTTTTTTCCTTTTTTGGCCTACTTCTTGTTAGTGGAGTCATTAAAATGTTCAGTATATTTTAGTAGAACTCTATTTCTCATTACGGTGTCAACCCAAAGATGGCATTTTTAAGGTCATAGTGGCATTTTGGCCATAAACTCTCTTTTCCATTTCATCTGACTTTAGGGAAAGTATCTCTTTAAGCAGAAACCAGATTTCTCAGTCATCACCTCTCTGAGAATGGTGCTCTAAATGTACTAGAACCTGAATATTCTATTTTATGTGTCTATACAACAACTTTGAGTGTTGCCTCTTTTTCAGTCCAATCAGCTAGACTTGAGCAACTCTGGAAGCTTTGAATAATGAGAAGTGTTTGATTTAAGGTTTCACTTTAAATCAAGATGCTCTGCAGAAGACCCACAGAATTGTTGTTAAAATAGCTGCTTACAGTGGAGCCAATTCACAGAGCAGAGCCTGGTGACTCTCATGAATCACGGAACTGAAGGTCTGGGTTCTCTTGACAGAAACTTTCAATCTCTGTCACGTTCTCATCTGCAAAAGACATTGCATGTCTGCCTCATCCATTCAATGGATTCTGTAAGTTAAAGAGAGTGCTTTGTGAATGAGGGGCCTTGTGCTCATCAAATATTGGGAATATGACTTTGGAACTGTAATGTTATAGTTCTCATTCCCTTAGCAGTCTGGAGAGCTAGGTTGTTACAGAATAAACTGCATTCAACTCAAACATGCTTCTGGTAACTCCATTTCCATGTGTTGGTTTTGTATGGGGAGACATGAACTTTATGAGAATACTAATAATTACTAATCTATGACCTTGGGCAAACCATTTCATCTTCTTGAGCATCAGTTGTCTCATCTGTAATATGGGATCAGATAAAACTGAAGTCGAAGATTTAGAAGGCTCCTTGCAGCTAAAAAGTGCTGAGATTGTGATGACTCAAATCATTGCCCCAGGGTCAGAGGTTTGAATTCTCTCCAGTGGGACCAAATAGCACCCTGACTCAAGCCTGACGAACCTGGCCTCCAGAAGTTATGACTTCCCGATGTATCACTATGAACTCTGAGACAGACATCCTTTCCCAGTTGTGGAATACGGTTCGTGCTCTTGCAGAAAATTAGCAGCTTAGTCCTGTGAAGTCACTGTTGGTAGCCTTTGATCCCCTAATTGGGCCAGAAAAGCTGGCAGGATGCTCTGTAGAATAAAGAGACCCACTTCCTGCACAAGGCTTCAGGTAGGGCTTTATCACACCTTTTTCAGGAATATGTGAAACTTCAGGATAACGAGAGCAACTGCTCTTAATATAGTCAGCCACTCTATAAAAAATAAGGGTTTCTACTTTACTAAACTGAATTAACTATCAATGGTAAAAACTTTCCTGCTTTCAGGGCTTGTGTGGAGTGTAACTTTTTTGAAGTTTTATTTTACCAACCAACATTTTACAATGTTGTCCCCAGAAAGAGCTAACATCTTTTTACTTACTTTAATTTGTGATTGTGAAGGGGAGTGGGGGGGAGGGGGTGTTGCTTTTAAATTAAACAAGCATGCAGTTTGCTTGTTTTTTTGCCTAGCTCCATCCAGTCACTTTATTCACATATGCAGAAATGAGTTTATCTCTTCCATTGGCATCCCAGTGGCAAAAAGAGACATCAGGGTGATTGGGTCTACTGTGGAAACAGGAAAGCAAAAAATTATTTTTGCATGATATAAAGTGATTCTGCTTTTCTAGAATCATCTTAGGTGAGCTACAGACCTGTTGGCACCTCCAGCTTTCTCACTATCTTTGGAAGACACTATCTGACATACATGTCTACCAGAGTTCCCTCAGCTTTTCAACCGTATTTGATTAAAAATAAAGATGGCTTTAACCGTTAAGGTGCCAACCTCCTTGCTTTAGAAAACTCTGAAAACCTCATGCATCATTTCATTGCATTTTCATTTGAAGATTGCATTATCCACAACAGAGCTGGTCCAGTTAACATTTTTAAAAGTGCAATACCAGGCTTATAGAATGTTAAAATGGACCAAGCCTGAACATCATAATTTAGTGGTTTTCAGTCTGCTCAGGGGCTCCCAAAGCAGTTCTAAGGAGGTGACTCAGTGTTAATATTAATGCATATAAATATTGTGGTTGTTAAGTGCCATTGAAATAGAGGAAGCTGAATGTAGCTCAATTGTTCCAAGGAACTTGAAACCCTGGGATGAGGGCAAAATGCAGATTAACATTAGATGTGGATATTGTAAGAACGCATGTTGTAATTTCAGGATTAATCAGAAATGAGTAAGAAAAAAGGGAAAAAAAGCAGTAGTAGCAGCTAACTTCCAAACAAAAAAAGGAGGAAACTTGAAATGATAGCATTATTCGAAAGAAGACGAAGAAGTAAGAAGAGCTAAATCTTGAATAAGAAAAAATAGTAATTCCAAACCTCTGTTCAATTTACAGTGCAGCTACAAAATATTTATATTTTCAAATTGTCAGAACTACAGGAGAAATTAATACATAATCGTAGTGAGGAATTTTATCACACTTTAATTCTAGTCATTGAAGCTGACAAAAATTAGGAAGATGAGGATAGCGTGACAATGTGAATACCATCAACAAGGAACTTAGCCTAACAGAGCCATCATTCTCATTAAGCCCACAGGAAGTAATTTTAAAAGTTGACCATCTTCCAAGCCATAAAACTGGCTTCAAAACCTTCAAAGGATTGAATTCATACAATGTAGTTTCTCTAATCACAACGTAATTGTGCTGGAGTTCAAGACTAGAAAGATAACCAGAAATTTCCATATGTCTAAAATCAGGAAATAATACACTTCGAGACAACCTATTGTCAAAGGAGAAAACATACGAAGGAAGAACACCCTTGTACTGAATGCTAATGACAGAATTATATGTTAAAATATGTGGGGTACAGATAAAGCAATACTTAACAGGAAAAGATGAAGTATATTTTCAAAATCTATCACACAAAGTGAGAAAATGACACCAAAATAAACTCCAAGAGAATTAGAGGGGAAAGAAAAATAAAAATAGGAACAAAAATAATGAAATAGACAACAAACATAGAAAAGAGGGACCAAACAAAGACAAGTTTGTGTTTTGGAAAAATATTAAAATTAATAAACCGCTGGTGAGATTGGTCAAGGAGGAAAAATAGAAAAGCTGCAAATAAACATCACTATTTTTCTTAGTTAATATCCCTATAGATCATAGGGCTAGTAAACAAAGCAAGAATGTTATGATGAACTGTATACCCAAACAAACTGAAAATGTAAATAAACTATACAGTTTATTATAATTGATATAAGAAGAAACAAAAAATTTGAGTAATACCATTAAAAAAATAAAAAAAGAATATTAGTTATTTAAAAAGCCATCTCAGAAATAAAACTGAACATCCAGATGCTTTCACTGGAGAATTCTATCCACATTTTGTTGTTGTTGTTGTTGTTGTTGTTGTTGTTGTTAGGTGCCATCGAGTTGGTACCAACGCATAGCGACCCTATGCACAGCAGAACGAAATACTGTCCGATCCTGGGCCAACCTTACTGCTGTTGCCATGCTTGAGTCCATCGATGCCACCACCTGGCCAATCCATCTCTTTGGGGGTCTTTCTCTTTTTCTCTGACCCTCCACCTTACCAAACATGATATCCTTCTCCAGTGACTGGTCCCTCCTGATAATATGTCCAAAGTATGAGAGACGAAGTTTGGTCATCTTGGCCTCTAAGGAGCACTCTGGCTGCACTTCTTCCAACATGGATTTGTTGGTTCTTTTGGCAGTCCATGGCACTTTCAATATTCTCCTCCAACATCATAAC